TAGGCCCATGTAAAGTTAATTGTTAGTTTGAATGTAGCCTGGCTTACAAATAATGGCTCGGGTTGCCTCGATTGACAGAGTCCCTCAAAATTTGTTCAAGTGATCAAGACAAGTTTTGAGATTACCACACTAAACAAAACACTTTCGATTCAAAGCGGGGTGATCCGGGCTATTGCCTTGCGATCCGGGACATTCTAGTTAGATCTGAAGTCTCATGGATAAATAGGTAAGCTTTCATATAATTGCCCTGGCCTGATCGTCCATATTGTGCTAATCGTCCCAAAAACTTTTAGAACGATCAATACAATCCATACGACTATCCCAAACCAGGTACAACGTTCGAATTTCCTCCGGTCCGCCACTTTCGAAAAAAGTTGTGCAAAAATTGCACCCAGATTCTTCAGGTTTTACTTTACTATTCGCGTTTAACTTCAGAAGATTAAATTTGTAAGCTAAACAGGTAGATTTATTCTGCATTGCTCAGAATCTCATAGCTCTAGAGAATAAAGTCCCTTTTGACGAAATTCGGTATTTTAATTAGCGGATTTCGTTGTTCATCGGTTGGCCTGTGTACAAAAAAAAGCAAACAAACCTGTCGGTTGGGAAACCTAGGTTTTTTATCACCGAGTTTTCGCTTCGTTGTTTGGATAGAAAGAGGCAAGAGTCATGGACGCGATGTTCTATATTGTCATGACAATGTGTGTTCCTGGACAGTGATATTAATCATAACTGAAATTTAAGTCTTTTTTGCGCTTATGCGGCAAACAACATCATGCTTTTCTTTTCATTGTATCTAAGAAACTGTCTCCCAATATCCTGAAAAAATAAAGAGAGAAACTAAACGGACATTAAGGGGCAACGAAACAGCTGACGGAAGAACAATTACTACAGAAAGCTTACATCCATATGGAGTTATTGTATTAAAACAAATTAAATGAAAATCAAAAGCTGTTGTAAAGAAGTTATGACAGGCATGATCTAACAAAAGTGCACATGAGATCCTATAGAACAGATCTAAGATACAATTTTTTTCAACTTTCCGTCCTTCTTTGCTGTGTTTACAGCTGAAGATTATGATAATTTTTCCGGTGCCTTACATCTCCATTGTTATGAAAACAACAAGCTAACAATGTGTAAGCCGTCCTCTGAGACACTAATGCGTTTTTTCATTTTCAAAAATGGTAAATAAAGTGCTGGTAGTGCAAAATTTTAGACCGGATTCATTTGCAACATATGCTCCGTTTATATGAAGAATTGTACAGATAGTTGTCTCGGAATGGGAGGGTCACCCTTCCAGCCAAGTCAACTTTATATGAGAAAAAAGATGTCCCCTTTGCCCGAGCAAAGAGCTGACAACAGCGCTCGCTTATGTTCTGAGCCGAGCTGGGCGAGCCAAAACGTTTATTTGGAGAAACGTTGGCCCGGCTCAGGAGGATGACCCTACTATCGAAAAAGGGTAAATTGGATGAGGGTCACCCTTCTAGCTGAGGTAACTTTTTTTTTCACTCTTACCAACTATCGACAGCTAAGATACTGTTCCAATACGAGAGCAGAAGTTGTCAGCAACAGTGACCCAGTCTTTACCGCCGGCATGGCAAGCGCCAGTTAGTTTTTTTTGGTTAGGTTTAATTTGTAGATCTCTTAAAAGAGCGCGCGAGCGCGCGTGCGTTCTCAAACTTTTTCCCTTGCCGCTAAAAAAGCCGGCACCTGCAACGCAGAACTTGACTCGATTTCAACTGCATAGGAATGCCGGTAGTAAAGACATGCGATGTTTCCTGTTAGGGCCGGTTGAAATGACAAGAATCGAATTGAATGAGTTAAATTCATTTGAAGTGTGGCGGCTGAATCAATTCATGCAAAATAGCTAATTGCATTTGGGTCGGCACAGCCGTTTTTTACACCCGGCTCAGCCGGGAATAGCGGCTGTGAAACGGCGGTGATTCGGACGCCTAACTTCACTTGAGCCGAACCAACGCAAATGCATAAATTTTTATGATATACTTAANTTTGGGTCGGCACAGCCGTTTTTTACACCCGGCTCAGCCGGGAATAGCGGCTGTGAAACGGCGGTGATTCGGACGCCTAACTTCACTTGAGCCGAACCAACGCAAATGCATAAATTTTTATGATATACTTAACCGAAACGCGCATTTTTCTCTTTTGAATTTAGCTTGGCTGGAATAATGATCGTTTGAGTCAGCCTAAACTTGAATTCGATTCGGCTCATGTATAGCCTCCCACGCAGGCGTTAGTGCGGTGTCAGAAACGGGCCTAAATTTACAATTTTTTTAAAAAGTTTAGTTTCAACTGAGTGTGCTGTTACTTCTTTGTCCGCATACACGTAGACAGCTTGCACTTTGACGCAACTTGTACCGCTGCATGTTTAGAGGGAAACCTCAGCGCTTTTATTTCAAAACCCAAGAAAGGAAAGTAGCCAGGGACTAACAATACACGGTAACCAAATATTACGCCAAAAACTTGCACCGGTGCGTTCATTATCTTTCATACTTACTCGTATGACTGTGTAAGGTCAGAACCCAGGAGTCATTTCATGATCATGAGTAGGTTGAGTCGAGAGAGGATGAGATTCTCTCTCAGATGGTTAAGTATGTTCGTCCAGGTGAACGTAGTCCTGAAACCGGGACTGTTGTTGAAGGTGACTGAGCTAACCAGAGTTTAATACCATCATCTGACGTGATACAACTCACTTTGACTCTGAAGATAACTACCCCACAGGTTGTCAAAACGTCAGTCACTGTCGACAACAGTCTTATTCAGCACTACGTTCACCCTGACGATCATACACAACCTTCTTACTTACTTACGTATTTTATCAAGTTTTTCACAGATTTAAGGAAACCTTTTATAATGCAAACAAAATAACCCAAAATGTCCCTAAATCCTATATCAAAATCAAGAAGTCAAGAGTCCTGCTCGATCTAAAAAATACGAAAATTAACTCACTAGCAATGAAGAGGAAGACAACAATACTGTAAAGAATTTGGCGTTTTGACCGGGTTATGGGCTCCTGACCGACTCTATTATCATGGCCAGCTACATCATATTATCCACTAATTTGTTTATTATGTTATCTCAGAACAGAGAATCAAGATGCTGATGCTGTTTTTGTCTCTCTGTATTGGAATGGATTTGATCGTCAACATCCCTAGCGCCTTTGCGGTAAGCTAGCACTTTTCTTTGATTTTCTCTTTAATTACAATGATGTACAGGAAAAAGTTACGTTAAGTGTTACAGCCATCAGGGGGTCAAGGTAAAGCTGAGCGCGTCTTATGGGTATTTTTTAAGTCGTTTTTAAGGACCGAAAGTGGTAGCTTGCGTGGCAGACGCTGCTTAGGTTTTTGGCTTGTCTTATGGACGCGCGCCGCATCTAAATTTCTCATTTCGCCCTCGTAAAACCGGCGCCTGCTTCGCACGCTACGCTCCCCTGCTGCAAAGAATTTTAAAAGCAAAAAAACTTAGCTTACTCATTTGTGCTTCCGTCATTTTTTTTTTTTTTCGGCCTTCACTCTTCGGATCAAGACTCGAGATCGCTGATCTCTTAACTTAACCCAGACGAATCTATACCTAGAATCTATGCCCTCTACAGGAACACTCACCCATGTTTCTTCCTATGTTACTGATATGATAACCAAAGGTTATGGAGTGCTGGCTATACATCGATATACAAGAGAGAATAATCTAAGGCGATGTTAATAGAATAGCAAAACGCGCTTGCTCCAACGCTAGACAACTCCGTGCTATGCGCAAGTTTCACGTGAGAGAAAGTCAAAACGGGCGTGATCAGATGCGGCCTATGTATTTCATATATTTTTAGTGGAAGACCAGACGAAATGCTGGCTACATACTTGCCGCGCATGTGAAAAAGAAACCAGCATATTAGGATTGCGGGCTTCTCTTGTCGCCCACGATAATGAGAATACCTTTAAAGCATATTCGTCCATTTGAATATTTTGCACATTATCAGAATTATATGAGGTAAACAGGAGGAAGCTGATTTTTATTTCTCTCAAGACCATTGTATCATTTTCTGAATCTAGATTTTAAGAGAGGTCTGGATGGATTACCTAGCTCTCAGTAATTAGCTACCGCAAAATTTTCAAGATAAGCCCCGCAGGATTACTTTTCTTTGTAAAGGCCTGTTGAGGGGCTTATATTTTGACCGGGCTTATAAAGGAGGGGATTACCACTCTTATGAGGCCAATTTGCGTTTCCAAGTCGGACAAGCTTAATTATTGGATAAATTAGCCTGGGTAAACTGTTGGTTCCTGTCAGACACTGAAACATTCTGCCTCCTGTTCCCTTAGCCGGCGAGGCATGTCCTCGTGCTCAGGCCTCGCCGGCTAAGGCAACAGGAGATTCTGGGGACCAGAATGACACTGAGATGAACATCACTAGCTCTGCCTCCTCCACAGTCGTTCCCAAGCCTTAGTGGGAAGAACAGAAAAGACGATAAGCGAGAGAGCTGAAGCCGAAAGCGAAGAGCGCGAGAGAGGCATGATGGGAACGAGCACAGAGCGGGAGCGGGGATTCCTTTCACCCCCGCTTTCCTTAATAATTAATTCAATATTCCCCTAAAAAGTGATCGCGAGCGAATGGGGACGAAGCAGTCACTTGTCGGTCTTTGTTTTTTATTTCCTTTAGGATTCAGCCGCCATCAGAGAAGGAATTGCTGCAAGAGCAGAGCTACAAGTTGGCTGCGCCTACTGGTCCAATGTTGCCCTTAGCGGTAGTGGACCCAATACAAACAAGAACAACTATTTTGTTCATGACATTGGTGTCTTAGCCGGCGCCCAAATGCCAGAAGTTTCGGAGGGGGTCCCTATAGAGGCGGGGGACGGAGGTTGGGGTACCTTGAGTACCCTGAATTACTGGAAACGTGTGGCTGTGGACTCACCTGAGCGTGGCGACATCGTTGCAGCTCACTACCTAGATAGTGGTGGAATTTACCATGTAGGAATTTATGTCAGCCCTGATACAATGGTGTCAGCTAATGCAGTAGACATTGCTAAAGGTACATGGCCATTTGGTACCGGAAACGATGAAGGAGATCAGATCGTGATCTGGCGTTACTGTGGAGAACTTAACTGCCCCTAGTAGTAGGTTAGTACTACTACTCCAATCCTGTGGACACATTTAACACTGTTTCGGCGCCAAAAGAAGCTTAGACCTGGTCAAGGGGCTGTACATGTATCAGGAATGAGTAAAGTCCCCTAGCCTACGTAGCATAGCGGTTTTGTTGGGAGAACGACTGAACGGAAGCGTGCGCGAAAGAGCGGCGAAGCTCCCGCCCCAATCTCCTTGCGGTTTCTCCTCCCTCGCCCGCCTTTATTATTTAGCGTGCCCAACAAAAACCGTCATGCCACGCAGGCTACCATTCCCCCAATCAACCGTACTCGCTATGGAACCTAACATTAGCTATAAGAAATAACTTGTAAATTACAAAGTCACAACTTCTTGACAAACAAATATGCCTCCCAAGCATTATATATTAAGTTACAAACAACAGGGTTGAACTTTGAAAAACGGTTAGGTTAGGTTTGAAAACTGCAATAATTATTGCAATGGGTGTTTTATCTTCTTCAGATTGTCAATCAGAGCCTTCTTTGCAGTTAATTTGTTATTTAATCATTCCTTCGAAAGGTTTAGAGGTTATGGTTATTATTTGCTATATTTTAGTGGCCTGAGTTTGATATCATTCAGATTTAGCAATTTCAAACAAAAGTTAGCCTGCGAAAACATCCGTTTCTCCTCGCTCTTCGCCGCCGGAGTGAAGAGAAACGGAAAGGGCCTCCCAAGTATCTTACCTGCGGTGCCAAGGCCTAAAAGATGGTCACACAAATAAATCTTTCGGAGAGCCCTTCGGACTCCCAAACATTTTAGCTGGGGTGCCTGGGCCTCCAAGTTGGTGGCCTAAATTAATAAATCCGTGAGCTGTTAGTTGATTATTAAATATTAATCAAATTATTTTCTAAACAAGTCAAGCAGAATTTTGTGTTTTGATTTTGATTTTCATGAAATATCATATCCTTTGAACTCCTGAACGTGCGTGTCAAATGAAACCAATAAAACCCATCAACGTTTTCGCGCCATTTGAGAAACAGGGGCAACGCCGCCCAATATTTCATGTTTTTTAAAAGGGAAAAGGGGATACAGGGGACACAAGGGGACATAAGGAAACACAAGGGACCACAAGGCACACAAGGAACACAGGAAGACACAAGGGACACAAAGAGAAACAGAGGACACAAGGGGAAACAGGGGACACAAGGGGATCCGAGGGACAAAAGGGACACAAAGAAACACAGGGGACACAGGAGACACAAGGGACACATGGAACACAGGGGACACAAGGAGAGACAGGGGACACAAGGGACACAAGGGAAACTAGGGGACACAGAGGACACAAGGGGACACGGGGGACACAAGGGACACAGGGAACATAGGGGACACAGAGGAAACAAGGGGACACAGGGGACACAAGGGGAAACAGGGGACACAGAGGACACAAGGGGACACGGGGGAAACAAGGGAAACAAGGGAGACAGAGAAAAGAGGGGAGACAGAGGGAAAAAAGGAACAAAAGGAAAACAAGGGAACGGAGGGAAAAGGAGGGAAAAGGGGGAAGGAGGAAAAAAGGGGAGACGAAAGGAAACGCGGGCAGAAGCAAGAAGCATACAAGGGGACACGGGGGACACAAGGGACACAGGGAACATAGGGGACACAGAGGACACAAGGGGACACGGGGGACACAAGGGACACGGAACATAGGGGACACAGAGGACACAAGGGACACAAGGGACACAAGGGAAACAAGGGAAACAAGGGACACAAGGGACACAGGGGACACAAGGGAAACAAGGGACACAGGGAGACACAAAGGAATACGGGAGACACAGGAGACACAAGGGACACAGGGGACACAAGAAACACAAGGGGACATAGGGGGACACAAGGGACACAGGGAGACACAAGGGGACACAGGGGACACAAGGGGATACGAGGGACACAAGGGACCCAAAGGAACACAGGAGACACAAGGGAAACGAGGGGACACATGGAACACAGGGGACACAAGGAAAAACGGGGGACACAAGTGGACACAAAAGGACACCAGGGGACACAAGGGACACAAGGGGACACAAAGGGACACGAGGGAAAGAGGGAACCGTGAGTAAGATTGTGGTGTGTTTATTTACTTTCATAAAAAAGTTTGGGTAAAAAATAAGGACACTATCTATTCTTTTTACTAATCATTTAACCCTTTAAGCCCCAATATCCACATATAAATTCTCCATACTGATCTTCATACATTTTTTTAAAGAATTAGTTGAGAGTGTTTAATAACAGATCAAAGCATTTCCTCTTTAGTGATCATTTTATTAACTCTCATAACCATTTCTCTTGGCAACATATGGATATTGTTAGGAGAAAAGTTGTGGTTGGTCACTATTGGGACTTGGGTTAAGAGAAATAACTGAGTTCCCGTGGAGCTTTCTGGAAAAGCTGTTATGAATTGCAAAGAAACCGCGGGCGACTCAAAACCCGGCCTCAAGACTATTATCTCTTTTGAATAATCTTGTTGGAAAGTATTCGTTTTATATTATCGGTGAAATGTTCGGGACAAATGAGCTTTTTTTGCATTCGGTAGCAAGCTAGTTCTACTTTGACCACTAAAGTTAGCTTTCGCGCATTTATATTTAGTACTTAATCGATACGTAATGACTTGTCACGACACCAAAGACAATGCAGGACTTTATAGATTTACATACCTTTTTTTAAAAAAATCACAATACTCGTACCTTTTCTTTTTATCTTAAGTTATTTTTTAGCCTCGCAGACACAGCAGTAAAAAACAGGTAAAAATATTTAATTATCTGAAAACTGAGGCGACTTTGTGTTTATTCACAGATTTCATAAAATACTTTACGCCTGTCAGGGCAGAAGTAACAATTTCTTTTTAAAACTAACTAATGAACCATCCTTATTTGAAGAAAAAATATTAATGCAATTTTGAAAAGCTGTTAAAATCGAAAAATGTGCAGCTTATCACGTTCAGAGTCAAGGATTATGCTACATGTGAATTCAAGTGGAGCCATATTTGAACATCAACGCGCGCCTGGTGCCCTACATTTCCTTGTAAAAAGCTTTTTGATTGACACGCTATATACACGTTGACCTCAAGAGTTTCTTAGCGAGCGGAACGTTCTGTTCAGGCCACGAAGCGGCCGAGCAAGGAAGTCGCAAGGAATAAATTCTAGCTTTTTGACTTTAAATCAAGAAACCAACACAAGCATGTCGCGCGGCTGGGTGACCTGGACAATATTTTAAGTCGCCCGAGGCCAAGTCTTAGTCGCCTCAGGCGAGCCCGCGCTGTAAGTTAGAGCACAGCCTTGACTTTGACCTCCTCTACGCAGTAAGCTTACTTTTCCCTCCTTTGCTGACGCAGTATCTTTTTTCTGCTTGTGCAATCCAACCTGACTTGCTAGTGATTCGAAGTTGCAGCCAATAAAATCACACAATTTTTCTGAACGGGCGCGGGATACGGGAAAGTTAAAAACAAAAGGCAATTTTTGACTCCCAAGAAAAATACGAGAGGAATGCGCTACCGAATTTAAGAAGCTGGCTGCCTATGTCATCCCGGGTAAAAATTCACGAGAAACGACGAAAGAATTGAAACTTAAGGATTCATTTCTTACATTTATTTCTCATGGTTGTTGTCGATTGTTGAGTAACAGTCGAGTTGCCATGTGACAAACAGTTCCTTTTTTTGTATCAGAGTTCCATATTTCTTAAGTCAAGAGAAGTGACTGACGGGCAACTCAGAAAAAGAGAAACCGGAGTTCTACGTCAAGGGAGGGGGACAGGGAGTGTACTCCCAATAATGGCCTATAAGAGATTGGCTCCGCCGGAAAGGGGTACTGTTTTTAGGCTTCAGGTAAAAAAAAGTTAGGGATTTCACAAGTTGAAGTATATGAAAGGGTTTATTCGGTCTGTAAAAAGGCCCAAAAGGGCTAACGATGCACTTTATGGTTGTAAAGGAAGTCGAAGAAATGTTCTGGTTTTGCCGGATTGATTCACATTTTAAAGACAGCGCATTTACAGCAGTTGAATGAGATGCAAAGTTGTCAACTAGGTAAGTGAAAGGGGTCGGCCATTTTTCAATCGAAGGTATATGAAAGGGGTACCTTTTCTGTCAAAAATGGCATATAAAAGGGTAAGGGGTTAGACCTGGGGGGGGGGGAGCCTTCCTGTATAAAACGTTTTTGAGTAACCCCCACTTCCTCCCCACCAGGAGTTCTACAGACAGGAGCTGAGCCGAACCAATCGATAGATAGCATTTTCGCAATGATATAAATGTGATATCTTTTACTTTTTACGCAAAGCCAGTGTCACTAACTGTAGAAACAACTTCCTCCATGTTGACATTCCTGTGATTTTTGCTTACTAACTCAACTAGCTGCCGTGTCGTTCAGTTTAGCATTTGCTGCTCACGTACATTGTACCGTGTATTATTAATGATTTACGGATGGCTTGATCACCAAATCACACAAAATTGCAAAGCAGCACGTAACGTGTTAGGATTAACGCCATGGCGCAAAGCTGCGCAGTAGCCATGGTTCTGACAAGACCTGGCAACACCAAATTAAGCATTCAGAAAGCTTATTTGCTGACAAACATCTCTGTCACGGGCTTTATCACTTGCGTCATGTGTCCTTTGTTTCGTTTGAAATGATGTTTGTTTTCCTTATTTCTTAAATACAGTCAAGCCCCCCCTTTAAGTTATGTACTGACACCTGAGCCTGTAAAGCGGATGCTTCATAGAAATTCTATTTGGAAAGCTTGACTGCACTTGATGTTCAGTCAGCTCTATCAAACTCTATCATAAAATCAACAGCATCTTGATAGTACCCTAACTGATCTGCAAAATTGTCTGTCGTTTTTAAACTAAGAGATCAACCTACTCTTTTCAATATGGATCTTTCAAAAACATATATATAGCTAGCAGTCCATTACTCCAATCCAAAAATTCCTTTTGCCCGACGGTTCAATTATTCCATGTTAACCCCCTCCTGCCTATTGTAGCGTGGGAAAGGGCACATTAGAAACCCAAATATTGGATCTGTTTGTGTTTGCTCTAATTTCGCAAGCAAGGTGAGTCGTGCAGTCAAAAAATAAAACAGGTATGGATGTTTTTTGTTAAGCTTGCTTCCCCTGGTCTTCAAATTTTTCTTCACACAGGGTACTGTAAAGGTTTTTTCTAGTTCCGAAAAAGACAGAGTTTTGGTAAGTAATTTATTCAAGTTTGTTCATTGTACTGACGACCATTCACTGTCATTAAAACTTGGCCGTTGATGACTCAGTGAAAAAGTTAAATCGACGTTATGACGAAAACTGTTCTAAAATATACCCGATCTTAAAACTTGTATTTAACTTTACATAAGGCAAAGACAGCGTAGTGAAGAAAGAGTGTCTAGGATAATCCGCTAAATAGTCTCAAAAATCATTCCGATTTGCCGAAGGCACGCGACAATGAGATAAAAAATAACTTGGGAATGTCTACTGGCGAATAAAGTTTTGGGAAAACTGAAAAGTCGATAGTGTTTCTCTCAGTGAAGCGGGGTGAATATGGACAAGAATTAATGAGAACACAATCCTTACTACATGCAAGCAGTGTTTTAACCCCGGGTGGTTTACATACCACACATACATATACGCTTCCGCATTTCTAATGAACGACAATCGACTGATTATTGACTAAGCATAGGAATTTTTAAAACCTATCGATCGCTTTAGTTTGCTGCTAAAATCATGATGGCATACTGAGGAGAAGATAGCTTTGATTTTACGTCGGCTTCTGCAGTTAAGGAACATTTGTTACACGGATTGCAGAAGTCAGGCTTCAATAGACATAAATAAGCAAGCATGTTTCACGCGCAAGCAAATGCCAGCAATCCAAAATTCAATCGGAATAACCTTAGTGAGTTCCTGGTGACTCAGCAGCTTCCCTGTCGAGCCTCCATAGGCCTTATCCCGGTTTTGGAAGCCATCTTGACGAGTAGGCAACCGAATGAGAAATTACAGTGTTTGTATGAGAATCAAATGTCGGAATAATTTCTCTAAAACGGCTGTTCTAAAAAGAATACGAAGTGTGAACTAAAGTTCCACTTCTAACGATTCTACTGAAAAAAAATTGAGGGTGTTACATGCAGCTACATGTGCTAGAACCCCTTTTTAAAATTTTCTATACATTTGTCGGTAAAAATTTCTCTTCCTGACGACTAAAATTTCCCGGGAAAAATTGCAGGCATATATATAGAAAATCTAAAGCAAAAAAAGCTGGAGAAATTTAAGCACAGTTACCGCCCCCCAAAATTTGTTAGTAAAATCCCTTGCTGTGTAGCTTTAGTTTAGGAGGGGGTGTCCCAGCCCCCCACACCCCAATAGAACTTGCTTGCGGGTTTATTCCCACTCGCTTGTGTCTACCGTATCTAATACAAAACTCAGAGTATCAGTGAGGCTCGTACTTCTTTAGTAGCCTTAAATCCCCTTCCCCTTCCCTTTCATACTTAGAAACTCTTTGCAACAGAATCTTTTTGAACAAGCAGCTCTGGTGAGCCAGATCCTGTCGCCAGTGCAACATCCCTGTGGTCCGTCTCTTGTACGCGACCAACTCCCGTAAGCGATGCAAAAAAGTGTTAGTATTTCGGATGGTCGCTTAAGGAAAGCTCGACTGTATTCCACAACAGAGACTATCATTCTACCATTTCACTCACCAATGCACAATTTCCCTATTTTTCCAGAGCCCAGGATCAAGACAGCTATGAAGTCTCGGACGATTTTGTCACTTTTTCTTGGAATCAGCCTTATATCCAACATCGTTGCTGAGGTACGTCATTCCTTTGATTCCCGCTAAGAGTGGGGACTCATGGGTGTTAAACAGACGTGCCTTTGTGTTCAGAACCCCGAGCATTGTTTTTGCCGTGATGTTTCTCAAAGGAAACTCGGATGACTACCTTTGACGAAATCTAAATTTATCTTTTTAATTTTATTAAAAGGAGATTAAAAGGCGGCGATCGGGATCGTTCAAGTCTTCCATCTATAAGTACGTTCTGAGCCATCGCGCTTAATACAGCCTGCGTGAGGACGACTCCTATTCCATTGCTGCGATGCGTGCAGCAATGGAATAATGAAATAGGAGTCGTCTGCACGCAGGCTAAGAAGTAAATTGAAAATTTAGACCCCGTCCCCCTCCCTCCCCCCAATCAAGGATGCGAAAATAACGCGTTTTGTTCTTTGTTCGGCTTCATTGATTTCGGGGGGATAGGAAGTTTGCTATTCCATTTTATTCTGCCCAAGATTGAAACTTAGTGACAATGGCGACGTTTTTTCGGCTGCTGTCATTTCAGTTCCAAACCAAACCCTTATGTATGCCCCTACTAAAATAGATGACTATAAAACATGGCGCGATTAAGGCTATTTTTAGATTGTACCGCATACCTTTTTCGCCGGCACGAAAACCATACCGAATAGGTCAGAGGATGGGGCTTTTGTTTACACATAATGGACCGTGATTTCGGCGCGATTTTCTGTAACGGTGCGAAGTTGCGCCTGGCCGATATCTAAAGTGGAGAGTCACATATCGGATAGAAGTTCATAAAATACCGGATAACTTTTTGTGTCGGCACGAAACGTTATCCCGTATAGTGTGAACAAAGCCTCAGACTTTGCAATTTTAAAATCAATCTGGATGGCAATTATTTTCTTGCTACTGGTTATAAATTAAATGCATAGGTACTAACATTTTTAAAAATGACGCATGTGGGTCTGTATCTCTTCTTAGCCTGACGTACCCGCCATCAGAGAAGGCATTGCTGCCAGGGCAGAGCTACAAGTTGGCTGCGCCTACTGGTCGAATGCTGCTTACAGCGGCAGTGGACGGAACACGAACAAGAACAATTATTTTGTTTATGACATTGGCAACTTAGCCGGCGTCAAAATGCCAGAGGTTTCGGAGGGGGTCCCCATAGGGGCGGGCGTGGGAGGGTGGGGTACCTTAAGTACGCTGAAAAATTGGACACTCGTAAACGCCCCTCAGCGTGGAGACATAGTGGCAGCTCGTGACCCGATTGACAACACTTATCATGTAGGGATTTTTATTAGCGCTGGCACTACAATATCAACTAATCCACAACATATTAGAAGAAGTAATTGGCCATTTGGTACCGGAAGCGAAGAAGGAGAGGATATTCGCTACTGGAATTACTGTGGCCTGGAAGAGAACTGTCCGTGAAGAGAAAAGGGAAAAAACAAAAGAGGAGCGACAGACAATAAAACCTTCACTCAAAAGGGGTTTATACTATTTTACACATCCTTGTTGATTTCCCTTCATCGTTTTACTTAATTCCTTCGAACTATTTTTCCACCATTGAAAAAACTTTGTAGTAATATTAAGTAAACTTTACAGTTATCGGAGTTGTTTAGCGTGGTACATAACAGATTATCACGGTTGCGTAGTTACCACTCTCACGTTTGTTTTTGTAGAAAAGCTTCTCGCCATTTGATAGCCTGCATTGTACGCGTATTTTTGGGCAAGCGAAAGTTGCCAAGCCCGTCCCCAGGGTCTAAAATTCGTACTGACGTGACCGCCATCTTTGATTTCGTCTCTGAGGAAGACTGGGGAGAGTAGAAATATCAACCCTTGGGGTAGGCGTCAGGGCAAAAAAAAGGAGGAGGGGGAGGGGGAGAGAAACCTTTGCTGATCGTGAGTATGGTGACACAAACACATGAAAACATAAATCAGCGTCTATCTTTCTCTCTTTATGACTTCAATGTACAATTTGCAATAATCTAATTGAACTTACATAAATCTTACAGCTCAAGGGAATTATGTCCGAAAGTCAATCAACTAAGACCACTTTGTAACAACGGGCAAATAAACTAGCCTGATTTTAAAATTTACAAATCATTTTAGAACATTAATAGAAATAAGTTGCTAGTCATAAGAGCATCTTCGATTTGTAACGTTCTGATAATTTACAGTTGAAATACGCAAAAATAAGAAGAAAAGGAGAGAACGTCATTCGCTTGTTGTAACAGAAAATATTTCAATTCACAGTTTCTGAAGGTATAATCTTGGGATTGAGAGTGGCGAGAAAGAACAAAATTTAAATTTGCCATTGAAATTTCGATATCCAAAGGCGAAGAAACCTACGGCCGGAAAAATACATCTGTGGAAAACGATAACTTAATGACCAAATGATAAAATGGCTCCATCAAAGTTAGGTCCAATCACATCGATGAACTCCAAAACCAGCTTGGACAGATTCAGAGACGTTAAAAAACTATTCAAGCTTCCGGCAGATCTCCTGTGTAAACTCAGAACACGTGCTACGGCCACCAAGGTCTCCAGTCAAAACCTGTCAGGGTAGTAGACAAACAATTCACAGTTTGAACACTAACTGGTCTCAAGGCGAAGAGTTGTGCGAGAAGTTTAGATTTACCCTTCCTTTACGGGAAGACTTTGCATAAATTACTTCCATATTTGTACTGGAGCACGTGCAAGAATTGTGAGGGCGAGAAACTGTATTTGCGAGAGAACAACATCAACAACTTTATTTGTACCCTACATTGATTTACATGATACAAAAATATTACTATAGAATATGGAGAGGGTACAGGCTGTCCATAATAACCGTTGAGGGCTAAAAAGATAAGGCAGCCTTACTTAGGTTGTTAATAAATGATTAAATTAAGGGTCACGTACCACACACTACACACAGCTACACAAAACACAGACGCAAAAAAAAGGAAGAAAACTAGTTCAAAAAGAAAGACAACAAAAGAAACCTGAGTATGCCAATATTAAACAACGGAAAGCCAAAAAAAATATGGTGTTGATAAAACTGCAGTTAATATTTATCAATAAGAATTGACTTTAGCTTTTTCTTAAGACGTTGGAGATAGAGGAGCTTGATGTCATCAGTTATATCATTCCAAACTTTAGCACCCTGGAACCTTAAATTGAAAATTCCATAATTTGTTCTGGCTTTAGGGTTAGCATAAGTCTTCCTGGAGGACAACCTAGTGTTATATCTATGTATGTTCCTAACAGGATTAAAAAAGGTATCAAAAACTGAAGGTAAAAGTTGGTTATGGAACTTAAACATAAACACTGCAAGATGGAGGGTAATGATATCAGACGGCGAGAGAGCACAAAACAGGATTATTTTACAGTGAGATTAAAAGAAAGAAAGCACAACGAATAGTTTCGTAGAGAGCATTTTACAGGCGTTTATGTCAGTCCCCGAAGCAGAGGGACTCTTCATTTGCGATACGGTCTTGTGACCTAGAGGTAGCCACTGAGAGCTCAAACCAGCGCGAATTGTCGGGGTTAAACTTCAGCTACATAACAACTTAAGACAATCAGGTCACTAATTATTTCAGGATTCCTTTACATGAAGCCATTTCCGGAAGGGTACCAATGTAAGGAGCAAGAAATTTGGACAAAGGGCAGGGGAGGAGGCGATAAATTAGAGAAACAAGTTCCTCTCCGTTCCTTCTCGTCCCATCTCAGAATACGAGAGAGCCACAGGGCTAAGTTAGTCCGCAGGTGGGAGAGAGAAAACCGACTAGAACAGGATATTGAATATTACGAAAAACTAGCATCTCCTTCAGTGATGCTCATGCAACAGAGCTCCAACTTTTGAGTTTGAGGACAAAAACCTTCTCGCGATCTAGCCATTGAAATAATTCATTTTATTGACGAGTTTTAAGACTGCGAACGCAGACGAAGAAGCGAGAGTCGGAGAAGTCACAAGCTAGTGTTGTGAAGTATTTTACTTTTCAGACCTATCTCATTTTTTAAGTTTCGTTCTTGTCTCATTAAGTGGGTCAAGGTTTGTCTTGATTTTGTTATGGGTGATTTCCTGTTTTGCTCTATGATTTTACTAGTATTTGAATTTTTGCTTAGCTGGCGAATTTACTTACTGCCATTTTGAGAACATTCTTCGCTTGCCATTGTCAGAGGTTAGTTTTTCATACAAACTGTAGGTGGTCGTGTTTGAGACCTTAGTTCATAAGTCGAGTTGAAGTTCCTGTTTGGGTTTTTTAACAAGCATTTTAGCTTTTCATTGGTCTGTAGCTTCTTGCCGATCATAGCCGTGTACATTCAGTTGTACCAAAACACTACCCACACCGAGCTCCTTTACCTTGTTCTTATTCCCACGGTCAGCTAGCCCAAACATGTCCAGCTTTGGCTATAAAAATCGTTACTATTTGACTTAGGCCCGGTTCAGACGCCGAACTTTTCATGAGCCGAACCTAATACATTGAATTAAGTACATGAAAAGTTCGGCCTCTGGATCAATTAGGAACGCCTATTTTAATATGGAACGGCTCAGCCGTTCTTTTCGCCTGACCCGGCAGGGAATTTCTCCTTTGGAGCGACTTAATAATTTAGACGCCGAACTTTTCATGCACCGAACCTAATGCCTAAATTACCATTAACGTATTTTGTACGTAGTTTGACCGAAATGAGCCTTTTTCTCGTTTTGAATTTATTTCGGCTGGAATTATTAAGATCGGCGTCTGAATCAATTCAGCCGGTCTAAATAATTTGAGTCGGCCTTAATTCGAATTAGGTTCGGCTCATGAAAAGTTCGGCGTCTGAACCGGGCCTTAATAGTAAGAGAAGAAGAGAAGATTAATAGAGTTACGAGTTGGTAAGAGAAGGAGTTAAGAAGATGAGGAAGCAAAGAGAAGCAAAAACCAAGATGAAAGAAGTAGACTCTCGGTACCACCTCGTGTAACGAGCGAGTTACTCGCACACACCCCCTACACTAGCAGGATTTTCACATGACGCTATATATTCCTCAGAACTAAACAACATGAAATCTAGTGCATTTCTTGAATTTTTACAATTCTTGAACTCTCTCTCCGCCGCAGAGGACTCTCTAGGGAGTTTTAGCATCGATGACGGCGACGGCAGCGAAAACGTTTTTTCAGACTTTGTCGCGTTTATTCCAATTCGCTAAAATTGTCTAATGGAGGCAAACTTCCCTGGAGTTGATTTCTTGGGCACTGCACTCGAGTTTAGAAAGAGTAAGAAAATTTCTTCGTCACTTGTTTACGTCCTCTATAAACGGCAAAGAAATGTACAAAAAAGTGTGATGCAAGTGCAAACTTGATGTTTTACTTGATAAACCTATTGATTTTTTGACGTTCTCGTTGCCGTCGCCGTCGCCGTCGCCGTCGCCGTCGTTGTTGCTCAAACTCCCTACTGTGTCACAGGTAGGCTGGGGAGAGCAGAAAAAACAGAGCGCGGCGTGATGGGTAGGGGAGAGAAGAAAATGAACTTTGCCTTTTCTCTCTTTCATCGCTCCTTTCGCGCTTACTACTTTTTTAGCCTCTGGGGAGGAGAGAGCTTTGGACTGTTAGGGATCAGGCAGATTCTTACTTGTCCTTCTTTGATAGTCTCCAGTACTGCTCCCTCTACACTGTCTGCATGTGAGTGAAGTTCCATATGCCGGAGCATCATAACAGCACTTAGTAGGAGAGCTGTGGGGTTGGCTTTGTCCTGGCCTGCAATATCGGGGGCTGTGCCATGAACCTGTAAACAATAAAAACCAAAATGCATTACGGTTTTTGACAATATGCTTTATGAAACACTCGTCCATTCTCAATAGTAAAGGGTAATCTGAGATCAGGCTCTATTTTCGTTTCGCTTCGTAAATGAAAAAGAGAGCCCAATTTTTGCGCGACCACATAGCAGGGGCACCCAACGAGAATATAGTTCATAACCACTTAAACATAGCATTATTAAATGTATTTTAGTATTTAAACGGTAGACATAGGCATATTTTTATCCCCTAAATATTTTTCATCTGTTCGGATTTCCTAGCTGAAAGTCTAGTGATCCGAAAATTATAGGGGTCAAAACTTACCTTTTCGAAAATTTTAGCCAGAAAATAGGCTCCCGAAAATTCTAGGTGAACTTTTTAGGGTAAAAATTAGCTAAAAATGGGCAAGTATACCATTTTTTATTTGTTCGAAAATCCTAGGAGAGGAATGGAAGCAAGAAATTTTACAACAAATGTTCCGAGAATTCTAGATCTCAAATCGTCTTCCGAACAGATATTCTTCCGAAAATTGTCGTTGGGTGCCCCTGACGTAGGAGAGAATGCATAGAAGCTACTAAAATTGGGTCTGATCTCAGGCTAGTAAAGGAATGGAGAGTTTAATGATCGAGGCCATTAACCTTTGACTAGCAGCACCTAGTCAGATTTATTATAC